TGGTGAACCTTCTCAAGGGAGCCCTCACGAGAATTAGAGGAGCCTCCCGAGTCCTTTTGAGGACGGCCACCACGGCGACCCTGTTTTCTCCTCTTGATGCACTCCGTGATCATGTGACCATCCTGCTTGCAGTAGTTGCAAAAAGCACTAGTGGAGGTTGCTGCCACCTGTGTAGAAGAGGGCACACCAGGCAGCGGTGGTGGAACGCGGGCAGCCAGGACTGCTGAAGAGGATGGCAATAAGCCCGTGCTCCGTAGGCGCACCTCCTCAGATCGCACCTCAGCAAGGGCCTCCAGAGTAGAGAGCCGAGGATGGCGTGCCAATAGCTGAGCACGACTCTGCTCGAACTCCGGCCGGAGGCGAGTGAGGAAGTCGTAGAGGCGACGAACCTCCAGCTTAGCTTGTTGCCGCACACAACACTGACATCTGCGACAAACATCAGCTCCCAGAGAGTCCAATTGGCGCCACACCGCCGACATCTCCTTGTAGAAATCATCCACAGTAGCATCTCCCTGTTGTAGTTGTTGCTCTTGACGAACAACAGAGAGATACATGGCATCCCCTGTAGACTCATAGCGATGGCGAAGGTGCTCCCACATCTGATATGCAGTGGTAAGGGCCACCACATCCATGGTGAGATCAACATCCATGCTGTTCACCAAGATAGAAGAGGCTCGAGCATCATCATTTGTCCATTGCTTGTATAAGTGGAGTTGATTCTGATACTCTTCAGTGGCCTCTTCAAAAGCATCTAGCATCTCACGTTGCTTGGTTTCATCGGCATCAACAGGGAAGGCCAACTCAGCTGGAGGAGTGGGCAGCAGGGGACAAGGCAGAGCACCAGAGAGGTGCTCCCAGACCAGCTGGCCCCTCATGTGCAGCTTCATGTGCTGCACCCAGTCCCTGTAGTTCTGTCCATTGAAGATAACAGGACATCGTGGGACTGGGACAGCACCGGTGGTGGTGGAGGGCGCCATTGCAGCAGAGCAGCAACAACAGCTCGTTGAAGACCAGCAGCAGCAAGAGGCACAGCTTGATGGCAGCAGCAGACCAGGAGGAGAAGAGCAGCAGCAGCCGCACTTTGAAGAGCAGCAGTAGTAGCTCGTTGAAGAAGAGCAGTAGCAGCAGCAGAGAAGAGGTGCAGCAGCAGCAACAGCTCGTTGAAGAGCAGCAACAGCACGTTGAGGCGGCGGCGCCGGCCGGGAAGGACGGCGGCAGCAGCGGCCTGGAACGGTGGTGGCCTGGACCAGCAGGCGGCAGCAGCTACCAGGAAGAAGAGGGGAGAGGCTCGATGAAGAGAGGAGCGGCGGCCGCCGCCGGCGGCGGCGGCGGCCAGAGGCGGCGGCGGCGGCTGGGGAACCTAACCCTAGCTCTTATACCATGTTATGAAGTGAGCCTATATTCCATCGGGCCAACAGGCCAGCACATATACATGAAGGGAAATAAGCAAAGAAGCCCCTATACAATATGATAACTACACACACAACACAACCCTGTTCTAACATAAATTGACCAGGCCCATCAAATTGACCACATTCCTTCCTCACATGTCCTCCATTTTCCGTGTCCACACCGCTGCCCTCCTCCACCCTTATCCCCGAAGTGTCGCCACCTTCATTCGCCGTCATAGATGTCGTCGTCGGGTACCTTGTTCGTCTCCGTTGGCATGGATGATGCCTCAATGCAATCCCTGGGCTCCCGAGAGTGGTCATGAGTTGCAAGGTGGAGAACGTTGCCTGGAGGCAGCGCTGTAGGAAGCAATGCGAGTGTGAAGCGATGGGGAAGGTAGCTGCAGAGAGGGCCGGTATGGAGATCTCGGCCGAGGAGATGGGCTTGGGCGCGTTTCGTATGGCAACCGCGACCAATCCGTTTGCCGTGGCTGCGGCAAAGAACTCGTCAACAAACCCAACTCTGTTCCGTCCTCCAGTGGTCGGGCATCCATAGCTTTCCGGAAGATGCCACCGCCGAGGAGACGGTGTACGACTCGTCACAACTCCAAAGGCAGTGGAAAACACCGGGCAAGGCCGGCACCGGGCATGCCCACATGTTGTTCAACCATATGCCCGAAGACCCGACACATTTTTTTGCCCCATATGCCATTTGCATTGGCTGATTCATTTGTTGCACATACCATTTGATCAATCTAGGGATCAGTCTAGGAAGAAGCAAGAGAAATATGTAAAATGGAAGCTAAAAAAGAAGGCGACATTGCAAGGAATTGACCTCGAGAGAGGGAGGTTGAGGCTTGCGAGACAAATGGAGTTGGGGATTATGTCGCGGGACATGAAGAAAATGGTTGATCGGCATGAAGAAAATGATCAACGAGCGCAATAATGAAGGCGTTTGATTCATTGATGTACCCCATATCTATGTATGAATTGGTATAACTTTATTTTGGCAAGTAATGAATTGTTAAATTGCTGTTTATTTGTATCCTCGAATTGTTGAATTATTGATGAATTTATGTTATATGATGGACGTGCATGCATTTGCATGAGGGTTTGGCATATTGAAAGTGTGGTTGTCCGAGAGGACAAATAAGGAGCCGCTTGGCACCATCTGCAAGTGTGTCTAGTCGCGCCGGTGACATACATGGGGTCGGATTTGGCCAGTTTGGTTGTTGATGCTTTTTTAATGGATGGAATATATTCCACGTGATATTGACGAGAAGGACCATATGAAGGTCCTATGGATTAAAATATCTTTGTTATTTCCAATTGAGAAATAGCTATAGCTCAATCAATGCTATAACCAGCGGACTATATATGTGGAGATTCATTATTATTTTTCTTTAGTTTTTGGTTGTTGTTTTTCTATTGTATTCCGCTGGAGACGATTGAGAAATAGTTATTTTCTCAATTGATTGAGCTCTAGACACTCCCAATGAAAATCCAGTAAAAATGCAATGGGAATCCTATATCCAAAAAATAACTCTAAATTTGCAATGCTTCGGTGTTGGACCAGATCATCTCTTTTCGATTGCTCGACCACTGCACAAAAGTTGTTTCATACTTCCATCATATGAAAATGTTGCATCCGATTGAAACAGGGCCACAGTGAGTAGTACAGTATTTTTCGAGAAACTCATGGCAATACTGCAGTTCTATTTTCGTTAGAAATAAAACCAGGTAAAAAGAAAAGAGTTGCAAACTTTAGTGTTTTTCAACTAACCTTGGCACGACAAAAACACGCCGGTAGAAGAATCGCATGAAAACTTTTACTTGAGCTAGCACGACACATCAACTTTTTTTTACCGAAGTCAGCAGGAGCTCTGCCATTGCATTTCATATGGGGGAAAACTGCACACTAGCTGCAAGCAGCTTACAGACGCTCCGGGAGGGAGCGGAGCAAAGAAAATAAAAGAAAGGAAGAAGAAAACAGAGAAAGAAAGGAGTGCCCAGCGTCACTCAGGGTTTGTTCCAGAGAATAATTGTCAAGTCTGCTTAGAGAAGGAGCAGCGAAGCAGGAGCCTATCCGTGGTACAGTTTATGTTTTGGAGCAGAAGCCAAATGAAAAACTTGATCTTTCCTTCCACTCTTTTCCTCCACGCCCAGCTCAGTTCCGATTGCTTAATTCAGCCAATGAACTGGGCGTCGTAAGCGGCCTTGTCAGAGTAAACTCCATTGCTTGTCAGCTTCCAGGAGAAGGCGTCCTCAGAGTCTTGCATATTGAAGCTACTCCCATAGCCCCAGGATCTGATGGATCTCGTCTTCCGTGTACATGCGAAGCAACCCAATCATCCATCTCCCATTTTGCAGCTCCTCATTGCCCGAAATGTTCCTTTTCTGCGAAAGCTTCCAAATGAGCGGCAGCATCTCAGCTGGAAGAGCACCTAGAGTGCTTGTTGCATCCTGCTACACCCTCTGTTCAGCTTGGCCACTCCTTGGCACACTCACTCCACTTTGTTCCATATGACTTTAGCTTGATTATGTACACAAGTGTACGGAAATGTACAATGTGATGGCAAGGCAAAATATCTGGACATTGTGTATACCACCTGGTCAAGAAATAGTTATTAGTTTTTTTATTGTTTGAACACCATCGTTCAATTAATATGTGCCCATGATAATAAGATGGGGTTTCTAAGGATTAACTCTGTCAAATTTGACTTCTGTAGGTAGAACATATAGCAGTATAACTGTTGCATCGGTACAAGACATCTATCAATATCTGATTCCATTTCATTGTGTAATTTAGCTGAAAACTAACGACACCATGCTTTCACCGAGCAGACCGGAATAGCGGTGGCATAAAAGCTCATGCGAGGAGAAAAACATGACCAGGATATTTGCATAGCCCGCCCCAAGCCTGTCACATGCAGCAAGATTGTTATGCAAATTCAAAATGGTATTTAGTTCATTGTTTCAGGCCTGAAGCGAACCTGCAGTATGTATAATGCTTATCCTCCCAATGCTTCTTATCTGAACCAGCAATCATTGGGCACTTAACAATTAACAACTGAAACAGATGCAGGTATTTAGTCTCCCATCCCATAAATCCGTATACCTAATGTACAAAATGAACAAAGGTAAAGAAGAGAAAAGTACAAGAGATACATGGAGGAACAGAGATCACCTCACAAACAGACCACCTCAAGACAAACTCTAAAAATAGTTTGTGAGGTGGAGTGCTCTGAGAGAAGGTGCATGAAGGAGTAGGAGGGTAAAGACCGCGGGGAGCATGAAATAGAGGTGGAATACCTTTAGCTTGACTTCGTCTCTGGAGTCTGAACATGCCTTGGGGTGTCCGACTCCGATCTGGTGGCGGTGGGCCTCGTGGTGGCCGCAGATGTAAGTGGTGTGCTTTGAGGTCGTCGGATCCGCTGGTGGTTCGTGCCTTGGCTTCAGTTGTTCCTGATGGTAGAAGGATGATTCGGCGAGGTTGGCGACGCACATCATGGTGAGAAAACTTGGCATCGAGGCGATGCACTCTTGCAACCTGAGCCCATGACGGTGCTATAACTGGACCCGGCATGGAAATCTTCACAAACCCTTGTATTCTTAAAAATCCTCAAGGTTAACCTGAATCTGAGGGTCGGGCTTGGATGGGCTCAAGCCTGCCCAAATAAATAACAACTTGTGCGACAGCTACAAAGTAGAAATTTAATTAAAAAAAATAGAATAAGGATATACAAACAAGAAAATGGGAAAATTTCATTTTACTACTAGTCAACAGCACATCCCAAACGCAACAAGGGCTGCAGCCCTCCCCCTCCTGCTCCCCCCTCCCCCCGTGCGGCTTTGGTGGCAATCAACTTCATACATGGAAGTAGGAATAATAATAGAGAAGCTCATGTTTAGCTCGTTCTTCTATTTCGTTACTACCTGGCCGTCATGGCCTGGTTCAGCACCTGATGGCATTTATATGAATATTAGTTCTACAATTTAATAAGGTTTTTGTGAGCCCTAAAAAAAACCCACCAGTTTCTTAGCGCGTTCACCAGTTCGATCTCTATTGGTTGTCTATATTGGCAATGCCAAAGTTTTGGTTCAAATTTTGATTTTTAGAAAAAAACTGAAAAACAATCCAATAAATACTACTCCCGCTGTAAAGAAATATATGAGTGTTTAGATCACTACACTAATCTGGAAAATTTTGAGCTTCTTTGGACAGAAGGATTGGGATATAATGGCTATTTGGCTTAAATGATCCAAGTTTTGGTTCAAAATTTAATATTTAAAAAAATCAGTAAATACTACTCCCTCAAATGGTCCATTTATGCGACAAGTAATTCCGGATGGAGGGAGTACATGTTTCCAGTAGCAATATTGGGAAGTTTGAGCTTATTTACACTTTACTTCAAAAAAGTGTTAAGTTTACCCGGTGTTAACTTTGAGCTCACCCTTCATTTTCTTCCTGGATTCGCCAGTGCCGGCATCTGCATTTTAAGACTCTCATCCATCTACATCATGCAGCGCAAAATCAAGATCTACAACATAAACCATTGCCGTCGTGTGCTCCTCTAACTGGTCCAATCTTTCATGAATCAAACAAGGCTGACAAGTGCAAACTGTCAGTTGATCTGAACTCATGAATCAACTACTGGTGCAGTACGAATAGTGCTGGGACTTGGAGCATACACATCTCCAACTACCTGATACCTAGATGTGAATTATAAATCAAATGCGCTTCATCAGTCCTTCCATACACCTTGCTTCTTGATTTTGCACTCATGCCACATCAATCAACAATTTCTGTGTCAAGTGCCGCAATAGGTTCTAAAGTTTTGCCTAACCTCACAGGGCACAACATGTTGTCCAAGCAACAACACTAAGAAACCACTATGGTAAATTCTCACATGTTAGGATGTTGACTACTTCACAGATCCAATGCATCACATGTCTTGCTCTTGTTAAGGATCAACTACTGTTGCATCCCTATTAAATTTACCTTGTTACTGTCTTTCTTCACCAGTAACCCCCACATGAACAATGCCCACCTTTAAAGTGATGGAAACGTGTTGTATCCCTCAGGATGATTTCTCGATCCTCGATCTTGGAGATGAGCTTCGCAGCATTATGGCAATCTCCACAGACCCTGAGATTCTTGAATATCCTCAAGGTTAACCCAGGTGCAGTACTAATGAGGCCAAAAGCAATAGCGAGCTTCTCACTGTGCCTCATTAGCATCTGCACCTTAAGACTTTCGTCTACATCATGCAGTACAAAATCAAGATCTGGAGCATAACCCATTGCCTTCATCCGCTCTTCCAACCAGTCCAATCTTTCATGAATCAAACGAAGCTGAGGATGTAATCTGTCATTTGATCTGAACTCATGAACCACACCCTTTATCTCAACCCAGCTATACCCAGGTGTTTTGACAACTGCATTATCCTTCATCCACCTCCTTACTCTGGAGACCTCGGCCCACTGATTTGCTGCAGCATAAATATTTGCCAACTGTACATAGGCGCCTGCGTTGTGTGAGTTCTGTTGGATCAGCTTTCCAGCAGCAAACTCAGCAAACTCCAAGTTCTTGTAAACTCTACAAGCAGCCAATAGAGTGCCGTAGGCAGAAGGATGTGGCTCAAAAGGCATAGAGCGAATCAAGCACACAGCTCTTTCAAGCAAACCAGCTCGGCACAGAAGATCCACCATGCAAGAGTAATGATCAGCCCGGGGCTTGACTCCGTAGATTTCCTGCATTGTCTCAAAACACTGTATTCCAAAATCGCAAAATCCAGTGTGGATACAAGCAGTCAATACTGCCACAAAAGTAATCCAGTTAGGCTTAACACCTTGAGCCTTCATCTTTTCAAACAAGTTGATAGCTTCCTGCCCGTGGCCATGCTGTGCATAGCCTGAAATCATAGCATTCCATGCAACCACATCCCTTGTACGCATCTCACTGAACAGCTTGCACGCGCCCTCCAAGTCGCCGCACTTGCAGTACATGCTCACGAGCGACGTACCAACAGTTATTCTCCGACTCAGCGGCAGCTTGATGCACCACTGATGTACCTGCCTCCCAAATCCCAGCGCAGACAGGTTGCTGCATCCAAGGAGCACGCTACTTAATGTCGACTCGTTTGGCCGAACATCAGCATCCCTGACTATCGTCTTGAACACCATCAAAGCATCATCCGTGCGTGAATTTTTGACATAGCCCGCAACCATGGCGTTCCATGAGACCAAGTTCCTCACCGGCATTTCCTGGAACAACTCCGTTGCCTTGTCCACATCGCCAGCATCCATGTACCCTGACACCATGGCTGTCCAAAGAACGGCGTCCTCCTTGTCGGGCGCGTCCCTAAAGCACTCCTCGGCCATGCCCATGTCTCCAGCGGAGGCAAACCCGGAAACCATGGCGTTCCAGGAGACGGAGTTCCTCGCGGGCATGGCCAGGAACAAGGCCCTGGCCTCCCCCACGGCCCCGTTCCTGGACAGCCCGGACACCATGGTGTTCCAGGACGCGACGTCCCTGTCCGGCATCGCGGAGAAGAGCTCCCGGGCGCCGCGGACGTCTCCGCCGGCGAAGTGGCAGGAGAGGAGCGTGTTGTAGGAGACGACGTCAGGGTGCGGGATTCGGCCGAACAGGTGGCGCGCGTCCGCGAGGCGGGCGCCGGGCGACCTCGCGTAGCCCGCGAGGAGGCGGTTGTAGTCGGCCGTGGTCTTGCGGGGCGCGGACGCGAAGGCCTCCGCGGCGCCGGCGAGGTCCCCACGCCGGACGGCTGCCGTGGTGAGGTAGCGGGCACCAACACCGAGACGAAGTCGGCGCCCGATCATCTGTGTGGCACCTGGACAGGCATGGGGAACGCGACAAGGAGAGTGGGAGCGTGGGAGCTGTACACACCCTCTCTCCTCTCTTCCCTTCCCTTTTGTTGAAAAAAAAAAGTTAAATATGTTTTTTTAGAAGAAAAAAAAGTTAAATATGTTGGAGAACTTGTCCTGCGCAGTCAGTTTAGTGCCTAAAGTTACAAAATACATAAAATAGGTGCTCGAACTTGTCGGACTGTGTAAATATGATGCCTACATTTGTATCCAGACGTACGTCGTCCAACCCATGTAGCGTGTCAATGTGGTGGTGGCCCAACTGTCAGTGGCTGGGAGCAGGGAAGTCGTTGGGTGGCCCGGACATGAGGATTTTAAAAAACCGCTCAAATTTTACTTAATCACATAGAAAACCCCACAAATTTACGGATTATGTTGCACGCATAGGGGGTCCACCAGGCCATACCGTGCTTAGTAGATATATACTAAGTCGAACTTTATATATTGCGTTGTTATGCATAATGTAATTTTGGAGCACCGACACATTGTGTTCATTTTTTCGAAGGTCAAAGAAACAGATTTTTATAGCTAAAAAACTTCTGACATTTTTTGTACATGCACACATAGAAGTGTGAGATACAAAAAAGACAAATACATGCAAAAATCAACTAATTTTTTTGGCTGGATTATTGTATTTTTTGCAGGGTAAAATATAAAAAAATTTCAAACAAAACTTGAAAGTCACTTAGAGCACATGCATACGTTTTATTGTGAAATTTTTAAAATTTGTATGAAAGTTTTAGCCAGTTTTAAAAATTTCAAGAAAAAAACATGCTCAGTGGCCACCGTGCTCCAAAATTCCTCTTTGGTTGCCATGTACCTCTCAAGCTTGCTCAGTTGATGTATATATATGGCGCTCGTATGGGTCTACACACTTAATTTTCAAGTTCTTTGTTTTTATTTTTCACTTATTTTCACCATTTGGAAAAAAAGGTAAGAACAAAATAAAACTGCCATAAACTTAAAGAAAATGTTAGTGCATTTGAAAAGTGTTCAACATGTTGTTGGAAAATGTTTCACATGTACTAAAAATTATAATGCATTTTTGAAAAATGTTTGGCGTGCGTTAAAAAAGTTTACAACATGTATTTTTAAAAGATTTCAACGTGATTTAAACAATTATTGTGTAAATTATCCTTACATTTCTATAAACACAGTTTACAGAAATGTAAGAAATTATCCACATAAATTAAGTTCAGCCTCTTCAAAGTACACAATAATGATAATGGAAAAATATTAAAATATAAAATATTTGCATATTGATAATTGTATTTTTCATATGGGAAAATTTATGCGTTATGAAACTAAACAGGAACTTGGAAAAAAAAATTAAAAATAAAGAAATTTGTAGAGTGATTCGTGGATTGTATTTAGTATTTACACAGCTTTGTAGCTAATAGTTGAATTCAAAGCATACTGCGGCCGGCTGGCCAGATCGTGCCATTGTTGAACATGATGTGCCAGGTTCAATACCTCTCAATTGAGTTTTTTTTCATGTTATTTCTCGATATCATACAATGTTTTTGATGGCTTTTTATTGATTAAATAAATATGAGGGAGGGTTTTGTAAAAAAATCCCCACGTGCGGGCCACCCGGCGCCTCTTAGACACTGATAGGCGGGCCATTGCCACGTTTGTACGCCACGCGGGCTGAATGTATGTCCCGATGCAAATGGAGGCATCGTATTTGCACGGCCTGGCAAGTTCGAGCACCAGTTTCACGTATTTTGCAACTTTAAACACTAAACTGACCGCCTAGAACAAGTTGAGGCACCTCCAATGTATTTAACTCAACAAAAAATGGTGTTCTTTATCTTTGGTGAAATTTACTCAACAATCAAGCAAATGTTCTTGCATATGAGGATGATGATATGGCTGGTGTGGAGGCAATACAAAAAGGGTAATGATTTAAATCCGGTGTCGCTCACGCAGCTCTTTACACATCTCACGATGATAGACGCCGGGCAAACGGGGGAAGGGGACCATCCATTTGATCCCTACGGTCGTGACAC